GCTCTTTTTGGCCCTCATGTCCCTCCGTTTGTGCAAAACGGACGGGTCTAGATACCGCCTAGGACATATCTAGACCCACAGCTAGTTCGTGATTGTTCCTCTTGAGTTAAGGCCTCTGTACATGGGTGGTGCGCGTTAACCGCTGCTCCACCTGCACGCCCCCAGAAGCGGTTTTCGTTTAATGGTGTTTTATTTCATCTAAGAGAATCATGCACTTATTTTCTGTTGTTTTTTACATATACCTTGATCCTCAATTTGTTGAACAAATTTGAAATTGTCCTTTTCAGGAGTGCATTTCATTTAATCCACAGATGACATTTCAGAAAACTGTAAAGGACTTTTTATTCTATTACCCTTTCCTTATTTGCAGCAGTATCTCCTGAATTTCCTCCCTGCGGTGCAATAAAGGCTTATTGTATCTTCAGTTTAAATTGAACACAATTAGATCATAAATGTGTTATTTTTGGAGTTTTAAAGGACACCGAGAAACAATTGTTGTTATCTCAAAGTCTAATAACCTGGCAAATACTCCAAGGATTCCTCAAGGACCTACATTAGTAACACAAGACTTGACTGGGGCATATATAATGTTAATTATCATGTAGGATGAGAACCTTTTGTTTATGGAAGCAAAATGCTGGTGGGAGATTTAAAAAAAATTCAACCTCATAAGTATTTATTTATTAAAGATTTCATTATGCCAGACATTTCGATCCTCAACACAAACACCTCTGAGGATCATCCAATAACACGCAGGGCAAAGCTAATGTAACTGATTAGATTTAAATGACTATATCCTCCTGACACTACAGGAGCTTGTCCTTGTGCTTAGTGATTTTCCTGCAGCATGTTGTCAGCATAAAGTCAAAGCAATTTGTGTTTGCTTGGCTTCAAAGGAAATTATTTCCCTGGGTTATTATACCACAAGTTGTGTGCATCTGGATGAGATGGAAATCCTGCATTCCTTACAGATTCCCTAATAAAGCGTTTGCCTCCAGAACCGAACCTTCATCTGTGATCAAAGCGGAGACATATGTTCGACAGAAATTAGACTGAAAATGTTTCCACC